CAGATATACTATGACGCACTTATCTAGGAGCGGGCGGAAATCTTCGTTCATGGTCATTTGAAAAGTGGCGGGGGCGTTGGTCAGTCCGAAGGGCATGACGGTGTATTCGAAGGATCCGTAGCGTGTACGAAATGCGGTCTTAGGGCAGTCGGGCGGATTGACACGAATCTGGTGGTAACCTCCTCTGAGGTCGATTTTCGAGAAAACCCGGGTTGTGCGCAGTTGGTCGATCAGTTCGTCGGCTCGTGGGATGGGGTAACGGGATTTGATGGTAACCCTGTTCAGTGCTCTGTAATCTATGCACATGCGAAATCCCCCGTCTTTTTTCGGTGTGAACAGTATCGGTGCTGCGAAGGGCGACGAACTAGGGCGAATGAATTCCTTTTCGAGCAGGTAATCGAGCTGCTTCCTTAGTTCGTCCAGTTCGGGTTGGGTCAGTCGAAATTGTCGCTGTACTGTCGGCTGTGCCCCTGGTTCTAGTTCTATTCTGTGGTCGTGCGGTCGTTGAGCTGGCAGTCCCGTCGATAGGTCGTCCGGGAAGATGTCACTGTACTGCTTCAACAATGCTGCCAGGTCACTCGGTACGTCGGCCAGCAGTTTCTGTAAATCCCCTCCTTTGTCTGCTGCCTCGGCTTCCGGAATGTCGACCGCGTACACGTCAGCTCCTGCCGCTGCGGCGCGTTTCATCGTGATCGCGTTGACACGCACCAACGAAGACTCGGGCGAGCCCCAGCGAGGTAGGGCGATGTTGTTACCGTTCACTCGCACGGTGCAGTCACCCGTCGTCCAGTCGATTCGCAGATTGTGTCGTCGCAGCCAATCACGCCCGAGTAAAATATCGGTTCCGTCGAGGGTCGTTGCGAGCATTTCCTGGCTAAACGTGAAGTTACCCCCGCATCGTATCCGAACCCGGTCTATGCGTTCCCGTATCGCCAGCGGCGTGCCGTCTACCAGTCTTGCGTCGATTTCAGGTAAACATCTGTCCAGTGGCAGTCGCAGTTTTCGTGCTGTGGCAGTGTTCATAAGGCTGTGGCTGGCTCCCCCGTCTACGAAGATTTTTACTAAGTCCGTCCCAATTTTCCCACTAAGCAGTATGGGGCTGTGTACCGTAGTACCCTCCTTATTCGGCCGGGTGTGGTCGATTGCGTGAACCGGCACAATCACTCGGTGAGGGTCGGTTGGGTCGGGCGAGCGGCGTGACCTGTCAGTAGAGGGCCTGTCTGCTACAGACTCCCAGCGTTTCCCTGCTGCTTGGTCTGTTTCTGCTGCTCAGCTTCCCCCTTTCCCTTAGCGTTTTCCGGGCATTCGCTCTTGCGATGTCCCAGCCGATTGCACGCAAAGCAGCGCCCTTTAAATGGTGCGGCAGCGGCATTTGCGGCGACGGCACGTATCGTGGCGCTCTCGTTCGTCCCACGAGACCGATGTCCCCAATGGCTTCTTCCGTAGGACCCCGGTCTCGGTCGGCGGAAGAAATCAAGTTTCTCCGCTATAGCGAGAATTTTTTGAAAGTCGGTGACGCCGCGAAGCTAGATTTCCTGAGCGATGTCCTGCTTCAGGCTGCCGATGTAGCGGTCGATGCGCTCGCTCTCGTGCATATATCCCACCTGCTCGCATAGCGCCAGAATTCCGCTCGTGTAATCTTGGATGGAACCGAGTTGGCGCCAAGTGCGGAGCTTCTGTCGCGCCGCGATCGAAGCCGCGATTGGCTCGAAACGAGCGAGCAGACCTGCGCACCACGCGTCCCACGTGCGATACTGGGGCACCTCCACGAAATACGACGGCGCCCAGGGTCCGGTTTGTCCTTCCCGTGTCGGTAGTGTCGCGTAGTCCATCGGCTTCATGACGATGACGCGCCACCAATCCATGGCGGGTCCTCGCAGCAGCGACACGGCGTAGCGGATTTTCGCCGTATCCTCCGAGACGTAGTTGGCGTCGAAAAATACGTTCATCGTGAACAACCACGCCTGAACAGTAGGACCACCCCTTTGGTGGGGATCGAAGCATGGCGGACGCTGCGGCTTCAGCGGCATCGGTGACGGCAGTGCCGAACCGTCGGTTGGTGCCGAAATTGTGACGCGTGGCTGGCTTCGGGCCGCATTCGTCGCTTCGGGGTGTGTCGTGCCGTGGTCGTCGTCTCCGTCGGGGCGGACGACGCCATCACTGGCCGCGCTCGCGGGTTGCCCCACGCTTCCATGTTGTGATGCTTGTGCTGCGGGCTGTTCCGGAGTGCCAGGTGCTTGAGATTGTGCTTGTTGTGCTTGTGTGAGGTCATTTTGCAGGGACAAACGTTCTGCCGTCAGCGTTGCGATTTCCTCGGCGCTCTCGCGGATTTGTCGCAGCAAATCGTTCAAGTGCTCCTGCGTGAGGGTCGTGATATCGATATGCTCAGCCATTTCGAAGGGTGTCAGCTCGTCTTAGTCTAGGCGCAATCGTGGCTGCACGCGTTTTCGAGAGAACGCGAGGACAGCGGCTCCTAGGTGCTAAGGTGCGTGTGTCCCTTCGAGTGAAAAAGCAAAAGCTGATATCCTGGGGTGCGGAGATGCGCGGTCCGAAAGAAAGGGGCTCTGAATACCAAGTGTTACGGGTGCAATGAATCGAAGTAGCGAGAATTGCACTAAGGTGTCAAACGAGTACAAAGATGTGAGCGAAGGCATGAGCGAACATTTATACGCGAAAACATGCAAACGGTAACGCGGTGCGTGCGAGCTAGCTAGTGCTATGCTGGCAGCGAGGCTCGGGCTAGTCCCGAAGTGTAGGCCGACACGGCCGGGCCAGCAGTGCGAGGTTTGGCAAAACAGTGCGCGCGAGGTTGGCGAAGTCCCGTTAGCAGTAACGGACGAACTGTGAAGAATGAGGAAATGAAGAAGAGAGGAGCGTTGCACTAGCAGCAGTTGGCATACATATAGGAAACCCTAATTGGGTTGTACTCGCTATAGAGTACCCCACTGCAGGCTAGACAATTATAACATTCTGACACACCCCCATAGCCAAAGTGGGGTGTAATCAGCACAACAAGCTCAGGGTGGATCACAATGTCACCACACAATCTGAGCACAAGTACAAGAAGCAACAGTTTAAAGTTCACAAATGTAAGCCAAGCTAGAGGCTATCACCGAGGGCAAGTGTGGAGGAGGAGGGACTATGAGAGGAGAGGAGGTAGTGGGCGGCAGCTGAAGCTGCTGGCACACGGCGCAACTGGAGCAACTGGCACACGGGCAACTGGAGCAACTGGCACACTGGCAACTGGAGCAACTGGCACACGGGCTACTGGAGTAACTGGCTCCGCGGCTAACTCTGAGCGGCAGGAGCAACGGACTCACGGGCGACTGGAGCAACTGGCTCACGGGCAACTGGCGCAACGGGCTCACGGGCGACTGGCGCAACGTTCTCACGGGCGACTGGAGCTGCGGGCTTCACGGCGGCCACCCCCCTTCGACCTCCCCAAACTATCCCACCCCCCTTTCACACACCCCCTGCTGCACCCTAGGTTCACTCACACCCCACCCCCTAGCACCATTCCGTCGACTCCCACACACCCACCCCCCTCAGCGGCAGCTGCAGCAGTGGGAGACAGAGGAGGAGGAGGAGCAGGGGAGACCACACACCCGCCACCCCCTACTCGCCACCCCCAAACCCTAACACAGGGCAGGGCGGGATGGCGGGTAGGGAGGTTACGGGGGGGGGGGGGGGGGGGAAGGGGGGGGGGGGGCCGACGCGCGGCCTCCCAGGGCGCCAAAGCATGCGGCAGAAGGGGCGACGCTCGCCCCCCCCCCCCCAGGTAGCCCCTCCCGTCGCCTGTCGAGGCGACCTGAGGGGGCCGCGTGCGCCCCCCCAGGGAACCGCGACGGGCGACGGGAAAAGAGGGGGGGGCGGTGCACGTGCCCCCGGTGCGCCGCGACAGGCGACGGAGCATGGCCGGGGCGGGGCCGGGGCAGGGTCGAGGCAGGGCCGAAAGGGGCGGCGACGGGGCCGCAAGGGGCGGCGACGGGGCCGCTGGAGGCGGCGACGGGGCCGATAGGGGCGGCGACGGGGCCGCGAAGGGGCCGCGAGGGGCCTGGAAGGGCGGTGACGGGCCGCTAGGGGCGGCGACGGGGCCGCGAAGGGGCGGCGACGGGGCCGCAAGGGGCGGCGACGGGGCTGCTGGAGGCGACGACGGGGCCGATAGGGGCGGCGACGGGGCCGCGAAGGGGCCGCGAGGGGCCTGGAAGGGCGGCGACGGGCCGCTAGGGGCGGCGACGGGGCCGCGAAGGGGCCGCGAGGGGCCTGAAAGGGCGGCGACGGGCCGCTAGGGGCGGCGACGGGGCCGCGAAGGGGCCGCGAGGGGCCTGAAAGGTCGGCGACGGGGCCGTTAGGGGCAGCGACAGGGCCGCGAAGGGGCCGCGAGGGGCCTGGAAGGGCGGCAACGGGGCCGCGAAGGGGCCGCGAGGGGCCGAGAAGGGCGGCGACGGGGCCGCGAGGGGTGGCGACGGGGCCGCTAAGGGTCGCGCGAGGGGCACGCCAGGGGGCGTGCAGCACACAGAGCAGCAGCGGAAGCAGTTGGGTGGGCCCACAGGCCAGGAGCGTAGATGCTCTGATACCATGTGAAGAATGAGGAAATGAAGAAGAGAGGAGCGTTGCACTAGCAGCAGTTGGCATACATATAGGAAACCCTAATTGGGTTGTACTCGCTATAGAGTACCCCACTGCAGGCTAGACAATTATAACATTCTGACACGAACAACGGTTGTTGCTGTACGCGATGTAGTCGGGCTCCGTAAGGAATGCCGAGAAAATTCCTTACAATATCTTATGTAAAACCTGTAATCACCATAAAGCATATTACATAGAGAATCCCTTACAATCCATCGCCGTGTTCAGTTCACTATTTCCATAAAATTACACGCCATATATATATATATATATATAATTTTCATAACTGTCACCCGCCCGCCCGCCCCCTCCATCCCGCTTCCCCTTACCAAATACCACACACACACTCATTTCACACATGGGAGGCGTATCTAAGGGCTTGACTGCCATAGTACCTTCCCATTGCTCCTCTTTCCCTTAACACTCTCCTCCACGTGCTTTCCAATTGTCCTCTTCTCTTCCTCTGGAGACAAAGACCCCTGCTCGGGACTCTTACTAATCTTATCCACTTTCTTCCTGGGCGTCTTAGTCTGCAGATTAGAACGATCTACCAGGAAAATGTACCCCCTGCACGTGTTCAAAGGTTTGCACGTCTCCCCATCCTTGCACATGCTCGCGGTGCAATTTTTTTCCTTCCGGACGCAGGTCACCATGCTTCGTCTCCGCTGCCTCTGCTGCTGCTGCTGCTGCTGCGGCTGCTTCTGCAGCTCCGCCTGCCGCTCCCTTTCCCGGTATGCCAACATAGCCTTGTATGACAATTCCGCTGGAAGCTTGTTCAGCTCCAGCTGCTTTTTCCTCTGCTCTTCTTCATTTTCCAGCCGCTGCTGCTTCAACTCCGGTCGCTCCTTCTCAAGCCGTTCCAGTTCCTGTTGCTGCTTCACCTTCTCCTGCTTCTGCAGCTCCTTCTGACGCTCATTCTCCCGGTATGCAAGCATACTCTTGTATGACGCCTCCTGTTGAAGCCGGCTCATCTCCTGCTGCTTCTTCCTTTGCTCTTCCCCCTGCGACAGCAGTTTGCGCTGCGATGAGGCATCTAGGCCGAGCAAGAAACTGCGCGAATTTTGAGGCGCCTTGGAAGTCTTCTTCCTCTCCTCTTCCTCCTGCGACTGCAGTTTGCGCTGCGATGAGGCATCTTGGGCGAGCAAGAGACTGCGCGAGTTGCCTGAGTATGCGGATTCAAACATGGAGCTTTTTACGAATCCGACTGTAACGGGGAGGGTGGGGAGACAACAAGGGATGGGAATAAATGAGTGCCAAACAGGTGGTTTTAGGTGATTTGTGTTGAGATTCTGAAAGCCGTTGCATGCTTTGTGCACAAGAAATAACGGGAGAACCACTAGTCTAAGAGGCTTTCCACGCATTTGAGTAAACATATTACCCGACAAAGGTTAGTGGGTGATAGGCAGGTAAACTTAGTGGGGGCGCAAGGGAAACGACACCAGATTTGGGCATTATGATACATCGGCGAACAAAATTAATCATCACATCCACACTACAAAAAACTCACTCGCCGATCCCCTCTCGCCCTTCCCTCATCGGCTCCCCTCACACGAAAATATGTCGCCTCGGCAACGAGAACCCATCTTACGTCGATTGCTCTGATCGTGATTTGCTGGAATTTCTTCTCCTTGAGCTCCTTCGCTGCCCCGCAGCCCGTACGCCAAGGCGAGCACGAGAAGGAACATGATGACGAATCTACTTTTGAGGCGCCTCAATAGTCTGCCCCATAGCCAGCCCGTACGCTAAGGCCAGAAAAAGAAGGAACCTCAGAAACATTATGACAGATTTACTTTTGAGGCGCATCAAAAGTCTGCCCCACAGCTAGCCCGTACGCTAAGGCCAGAAAAAGAAGGAACCTCAGAAACATTATGACAGATTTACTTTTGAGGCGCCTCAAAAGTCTGCCCCGCAGCCCGTACGCTAAGGCCAGAAAAAGAAGGAACCTCAGAAACATCATGACAGATTCACTTTTGAGGCGTCTCAAAAGTCTGCCCCGCAGCCCGTAAGCCAAGGCCAGTACGAGAAGGAACCTCAGCAACATGGGAAACGCATCTTACGTAGATGGCTCTTATCGTGATTTGCTGGAAGTTCCTCTCCTTGAGCTCCTTCGCTGCCCCGCAGCCCGTACGCCAAGGCGAGCACGAGAAGGAACCTCTGCAACATGATGACGAATTTCTCTCCTTGGGGTCCGTAGGAGAAATTCGTACGGAAGAAAGAGGCTTGGGGTCACTATTACGGCTGCTTATTTCAGTCGGGAGATTTCAGAAGCTACAATTACGGAACATGGACTAAGAGGAGAAACCCACCAAGGATGGGTCAAACCACTCCTTGGAAGGGGAGGGAGGGAGGTGAGGAGGAATCCAATTCTATACAATTTCTCCCATTCCAATAATGCAATGCGCGAGCGCCAAATCAGTCACAGCACCCGCGACGCGGCGAAAATGTTGAGCGTTTCGATGGGGTTCGCTACGGTTCGTTATTTGTTGCGACATGCAAACCGCTGAATGCGCGGGACGCGCTGCAACCGCCAAGCTTGAGTACAACAGTGCAATCAATAATGCACGCGAGAGGTTTGGACAGGCTTGACGAGCTGCTGGTTCCGCTTATAGGAAAATAAATACACGTATGAAAACGATCAACTACTAATCTTGTGGGTATGGTAGTTGTTTCATTTTCTTCCCCCAATAATTAGAACCCAACTAAACAGACAGATATGACACCTGGGTGTCGGTCAGATTGAAAGTTGCGAGTAATGGCTAAAGGAAATTAACCACCATCATGGTGCGTGCAGTTCCTCACTCGGTTAACCCACATGAACTAAGTAATAATTTGCCACGTGATGTCCTGCTACAGCTATTGCGGGAGGAGCAGCAGCAGCGAAAGCAGAATCGATAAGTGGAAGCGCATACAGGGAAAACCCCCAGCGACATAAGGCTGCGAGGGCGAGTGGCCTTGGTGATGCTGCTGGCATAGAGGCAGCATGTTCGATTTCACCGCGAGCCACAGCTACTGAAGGAGGAGCAGCAGCCGGAGAAGGCACGGTAAAAGGCAGTGCGCCTAAGAGCAGTAAAACGCGCAGAGGCAGCAGTTCATTCAAAGGCAGTGCTTCTGGCGCTGCTGGTGCAGAGGTAGCAGCAAGGTCACTTTCACCCCAAGCAACAGGTGCTGCAGGAGGTGCAGCAGCAGCAGCAGCAGCAGCAGCAGCAGCAGCAGCAGCAGCAGGAGGAGGAGGAGGAGGAGGAGGAGGAGGAGGAGGAGGAGGAGGAGGAGGAGGAGGAGGAGGAGGAGGAGGAGGAGGAGGAGCAGCAGCAGCAGGAGGAGGAGCAGCCGCCAGAGAAGGCACGGTAGAATGCAGTGCGCCTAAGAGCAGTAAAACGCGCAGAGGCAGCATCATTCAAAGGCAGTTCGCCAAGAGGCACTACGCTCAAAGGCTACTCCCCTCTGGCCCTTGTCACGAGCAGCCCTCGTCCCACGCCTTCGTTTCTATCACCACCCCTTCCATTGTCACCCCTGCCACTGTCACTCCCGGCTGCTCGTTCGGATTTCACTCACAAGCCCCCATTATTGTCACACCGTATTTTGTCACTGCCTACAAGTTTTAACGAAGGGGACGGGGTGCGGTCTTTGCTGTCAAATCCGTCATTGTCACACCCGGCTGTTCCTTCTGACTCTCCACACATGCCACCGTTATTGTCACACCCCCGAGGCGAGGGGGAGGGAGAGGATAAGAGAGAGGACGTGGGAGAGGAGGAGAGGGAGGAGGGAGGAGGGAGGAGGAACGGTGGGAGCGAAGGGAATGGAGCTTAGCAGAGAGGATGTGAGAGAGAAGGGAGAGGAGGGGAGAGATTACGGGAGAGAGGAGGGCAGAGAGGAGGGGAGAGAAGAGACATGTGGAAGGTGGGAAAGATGAGGAAGTTGGGAAAGATGTGGAAGTTGGGAAAGATGAGGAAGTTGGGAAAGATGAGGAAGTTGGGAAAGATGTGGAAGTTGGGAAAGATGTGGAAGTTGGGAAAGATGTGGAAGTTGGGAAAGATGTGGAAGTTGGGAAAGATGTGGAAGTTGGGAAAGATGTGAGGATGTGGGTGGACGGTGCAGCAATCACAGAGGAAGGGTGTGATATGAGGGGGAGAGGGGTAGGAGGAAGGCGTATGCATATGGAAGGTGGGAATGGTGTGGAAGGTGGAAAAGATGAAGACAATGGGAAAGATAGGATGGATGTGTGTGTGAGAGGGGGCGGTGGTGGGTACATAGAAGTGCACCATCCACTGCCAGTGCTGGCTGTGCACGTGTGGGCGGATAACAACCCCTCTAACGGCCCTTCATGGGGCAGAGGTCGCTCATCAGAGGTGCATATGGATGCGCAATTGGGTGGTGCGCTGCAGTCGGATTCAGCATTTCGAAGCCCACATGTAGATGGAGGAAGAGGAGGAGGAGGAAGAGGAGGAGGAGGAAGAGGAGGAGGAGGAAGAGGAGGAGGAGGAAGAGGAGGAGGAGGAGGAGGAGGAGGAGGAGGAGGAGGAGGAGGAAGAGGAGGAGGAGGAAGAGGAGGAGGAGGAAGAGGAGGAGGAGGAGGAAGAGGAGGAGGAGGAAGAGGAGGAGGAGGAAGAGGAGGAGGAGGAGGAGGAGGAGGAGGAGGAGGAGGAGGAGGAGGAGGAGGAAAAGGAGGAGGAGGAGGAGGAGGAGGAGGAGGAGGAGGAGGAGGAGGAGGAGGAGGAGGAGGAGGAGAAGGAGGAGGAACGCGCATCGCAGTGTGTTTGGGGAAGGAGGAGAAGGAGGAGCGGATGGTAGTGGTGTATGAAGCAACGAGCACTGGAGGAGAGGTGTAGAAGGCTGTGATGTGGGAAGGAGTGGTTTGGCCGGGAGCGGAATGACTTCGAAGTCGACTCAAAATTCATCCCGTATGGTAGTGGTGTATGAAGCATTGAACACTGGGAGGAGTGGTGTAGAAGGCTGTGATGTGGGAAGGAGTGGTTTGGCCGGGAGCGGAATGACTTCGGAGTCAACTCAAAATTCATCCCGGATGGTAGTGGTGTATGAAGCATTGAACACTGGGAGGAGTGGTGTAGAAGGCTGTGATGTGGGAAGGAGTGGTTTGGCCGGGAGCGGTGTGGCAGGGAAAAGGCCACACGAAGCAGCAGGAAATGCGGCTGGAAATGCGGGAGGAAATGCGGGAGGAAATGCAGGAAGACCAGGGCTAGGAACGTTTCAAGAAGCAGCGAGGCATGATGGGGCTCCGTGGTTCAGGCTGGTGGGCAGCTTTGGTGTGACAGTCGACCATGCAGAGGCACGGACGGAGGTGAGTGGAAGGAAAGGGATGGCCCCTAACGCAGTGAGCACACAAGTCACTGTTGAGAATTTCCACCCAGTGTGGCTCCGTGGTTCAGGCTGGTGGGCTGGTGGGCAGCTTAGAGTGAAGGTCGACCATGCAGAGGCACGGACGGAGGTGAGTGGGAAGAGATGTCTTCTGATTCAGTGAGCTTTCAAGTCATTATTGAGGCTCCGTGGTTCAGGCTGGTGGGAAGATGTGGAGTGAAGGTCGACCTTGAAGGGGCACGGACGGAGGTGAGTGGGAAGAGATGACTCTCGAGTCAACTCCTCGGCGACGCAACCCTTGCACCCTTCAACCCCCATTCGCCCCACCCACCCCCGAACCCCCCCTCTCCCTTTTTCCCTTCACACCACCCTCTGGCAGGTGTTCCCCGAGCGTCAAGCCATGGCCTTCTCGCCCTGTGGCTCCTGCCTCTGCTCTCCCTTCTCCTCCTCAGTTCAGTAACCCAGCCCTGCAGCACCTGCCTCTACCTCGCTAACTGCTTCACTCTCTGCCCCCGTCCTTCTTTATATCACCCTTTCAGGTGTTTCCCGAGCGCCAAGCCATGGCCTTCTCTCCCTGCGGCACCTGCCTCTACTTCGCTAACTGCTTCACTCTCTGCCCGCCATATGAGACTAAAACGAATCATGCAGAAGCAGCTGCGTTCAGTGGCAAGAGCAACGGCAGCAGAAGCAGCAGCAGGAGAGACAGCTTTCGCAGCAACAGCAGCAGCGGCAGTGGCAAGAGTGGCGGTGGCAGGAGCAAAAGTGCTCCTGGTGGTGTGACAGTAGTCGAGTTGGACTTGGAAACCTCACAAAGCAAAAGCGCTTCAAGAAGAGGTTTTTCCCATGTTCTTGAACTCCCTGGAGAAGGCAAAAGTGTTCTTGAACTCCCTGAAGCCTCTCCCTGTTTTCACACTAGTGCCTCTTCCTCTGCCCTCCGTTCTTCCCTTGCTTTCTCTGCCTGACTTCCGCTGTTCCCCTCCCTCTCAAGCCTCTCACCCACGGTTCCCAACTGCCCACAGATGTGGGCTGTGGTGGTGGTGAGGAGGGGGAGGAATGAGGGTGGGAAGGGTGTGGAAGAGGAGACGAGTGGGGGGAAGGAGATGGGGAGGGGTGTGGAAGGGAAGGGCATGGAGGGAGGAGGTATGGAGGGAGGAGGAGAGTGGGTGGTGGTGGCAGCAGGGGATGGTGGTGCTGCGTGCTGCTGGGTGATGGACAGGCATGGGAGGTGAGATGGTCACATGCAGGGAGAAGGTGGGTTCATGTGAGGGTACGTCAGGGTGGTGAGGGTACGTCAGGGTTGGTGAGGGTGGGTGAGGTTATGGGATGGTGATGCTGCATGCTGCTGGGTGATGGACATGCATGGGAGGTGAGAGGGAAGTGAGGGGAGGTGAGAGGAGGTGAGGGTAGGTGAGAGGGGAGGTGAGTGAGAGGAGATGATTGTAGGTGGGGGTAGCCGGCTGGGTGGTGGTAAGTATGGTAGGGGAGCATAGGGATGGGTGGTGTTGCGTGCTGTTGGATGATGGGCCGGCACGGGAGGTGAGAGGGGAGATGAGAGGGGCACTTGCAGGGAGGGTGAGGTAAGGTGGGGTGGGGGTAGGGGAGGGGCGTGTTGTTGGGTGATGGACGTGCAGGGGAGGTGGGAGGGGAGATGGAGCTAGATGAGGTTAGATGAGGTTAGATGAGGTAAGATGAGGCTAGATGAGGTTAGATGAGGTTAGATGAGGTTAGATGAGGCTGTCCAGTCAACCATTGCGCGCCACGCCATTTGCTCGCTCTTTTCCCATTCTCTCATCACCAATATCCCCGTGTCACAGGTCGTCCCTGTTTGATACCACCTCCCCACAGCGTGCTACAGAAACCACCCCTTCCACCGAGTCATCTCCCTGGCTGCTGTGCTCCCTCATACACTCAATTCTTGATGCATCATACGTTGTTTATAGTGCCTTTTGTCCACCCCTCAACCCGTCTCACAGGTCGCTTCTAGCCAGATACCACCTCCCCCCGGCGTGCTACAGGAGCCACCCCTTCCACCGAGTCATCTCCCTGGCTACTGTGTTCCTTCATACACTCAATTCTTGATGCATCATACGTTGTTTATAGTGCCTTTTGTCCACCCCTCAACCCGTCTCACAGGTCGCTTCTAGCCAGATACCACCTCCCCACGGCGTGCTACAGGAGCCACCCCTTCCACCGAGTCATCGCCCTGGCTGCTGTGTTCCCTCATACAATCAATCCTTGATGCATCATACGTTGTTTCTAGTGCCTTTTGTCCACCCCTCAACCCGTCTCACAGGTCGCCCCTGGCCAGATACTACCTCCCCCCGGCGTGCTACAGGAGCCACCCCTTCCTCCGAGTCATCTCCTTGGCTGCTGTGTTACCCTCACCACACACGCTGTTCTCCACACCCCACCTGTGTTCCTTGTGTTACATGTCGCCCCTGGCCAGATACCACCTTCCCCCAGCTTGCTACACGAGCCACCCCTTTCACGGAGTCATCTCCCTGGCTGCTGTGCCGCACCGGCCTGGATGGGTTCTGGGGTGCTCCTACGGCGGTTCTGTTGCTCTTTGGTGAGTCAACCTGAGTCAACACAAGTCAGAAACGGTCGTCTCCTTGGCTGCTGTGCCGCACCGGCCTGGATGGGTTCGGGGGTGCTCCTACGGCGGTTCTGTTGCCCTCTTGTGAGTGAGAGAACTTTAAAAGGTCAACACCAATCAACTGAGTCAATCCAATCAAGCCCACCCCTTTCACCGAGTCATCTCGCTGGCTGCTGTGCCCCACCGGCCTGGATGGGTGCTTGGCTGCTCCTATGGTGGCTCAATTGCTCTCTGGTAAGTCAACACCAGTCAACACGAGTCAACACGGGTCAACACGGGTCAACACGGGTCAACGCATTCATACCCACCCCTTCCACCGGGTCATATCCGTGGCTGCTGTGCCCCACCGGCCTGATGGGTGCTTGGCTGTTCTCACGACGGCTCAGTTGCCCTCTGGTGAGTCAACACGAGTTAACCCCCATCCAATCTCACTCCCCATCCACTCTCACCCCCATCCACTCTCACCCCCCATCCACTCTCCTCTCCGCTTGGCCCCTTCCTCCCTCACAGGGATGTGGATTGCCGTTTCCTGCTGAGTGTATGACACAGCCTCTCATCACACTCCATTCTCATAAGTCACCTACACCCCCACTCACACCCACATACCCACATACCCACGCCCCATCCTCTCAGCTGAGGATTGCCGTTTGCTGTTGAGTGTATGACACAGCCTCTCATCACACTCCATTCCCAAAAGTCACCAGAGCTACATACACCCAAGCCCCATCCACTCGCATGCCAATCTACCCTCAAACCCCCTCCATCCACTCACAGGGATGTTGATTGCCGTTTTCTGCTGAGTGTATGACACAGCCTCTCATCACACTCCATTTTCGCCCTGCACGTCTGTCCTCTCCCCTCTGAATCGGATACCCTTTTTTAGCAGTTCCTGATGTGTAAACACCCTCACTGTATTCACACACACCCCCCCTTCCTCCACATGCACGCATGTGCATCGTCGTGTGCTGCTGACTGCATGGCACAGCCTCGCGCACTCCATTCTCGGCCTGCACAACTCCCCTCTCCCCTCCGCTCCTGCTGTTGCTGGCTCTGCTGCTGCTGGCTCTGCTGCTGCTGGCTCTGCTGCTGCTGGCTCTGCTGCTGCTGGCTCTGCTGTTGCTGGCTCTGCTGCTGCTGGCTCTGCTGCTGCTGCTCGTGCTGAAAACGCTGAAGGGTTTGGGAAGAAAGCAGAGAAGGAAGGGATCGGGGGGATATAGGGGCTGGAGCTGCTGCTGTTGCTGGAAACAGGGGAAAGGGCAGAGAGCGTGCAAAACGATGTAAATGAGCAACAAAACATGATGCCTGAAGAAGAGTGCAAGATCACAGTATCAAAAGAGAACGTGGGAGACAATCAGCAGGAGGTGGTGGTGCGGGCGCGACAGCTACAGCCACGGACAAGCGCACACAGGCTGGCGTTTCTGAGTGCCAAGGCGATGGTGGTGGGGAGGAGCATAGCGGACAGGTGAGCACTGAGCTGACCCGCATGGGTGGAATGCGGTACGAAGGTGCGCAGTAAGGTCTGCTGTTAGCAAGGGTGGTGGTGCGGGCACCACAGCTACAGCCATAGTCAGGCGGACACAGGCTGGCGTTTCTGAGTGCCAAGGCAATGGTGGTGGGGAGGAGCATAGCGGACAGGTGAGCCGAGGCACATGGCATGAGTGGGATGCAATACGAAGGTGTGTGGTAAGGTTTGGTGCTACACTGTCAGGCGCACACAGGCTGGCTGGCGTTCCTCAGTGCCAAGGCGATGGTGGTCTCGCCTGATGTGGTGGAAGGATTGACCGGCTGCTAGATCCGGTCCGATAGTGGTCTCGCGAATCGTCCCATCGTCTTCTATCTCCACAATTTAAAGGGGAGGGGCATGGGGCACGGGATAGGAGGGGAGGGGCATGGGGCAAGGGATAGGAGGGGAGGTAGAATTTTTTTTGGCACCTTACTATCTCCTACAAACTGAAGGGGATGGGAGAGGGGTAGAGGCGAAGAGGAGGGAAACTAACCGTGAGTGGATTGCTGGCGATGTGGTGAAAGATTTGAGCAGAGGAGCGGAAGGAGCGGCATACGAATAGAGTCAAATTACAAGTGACGAGGGAGAGGGGGGAGGGTGATAGGACGGGAACTGACAGTAAGCGGGTCCCTGGCATAGTGGTGAAAGATTAGATGATGTTGCCAGTTAAGAGGAGGTAGCCGGCATACGAATCGAGTCAACTCACAAGTGACGGAAGGAGCAGAGGGGTGGAGGAGGAGTACTGATCGTGAGTGGGTCGCCGGCATAGTGGTGAAAGATTTCGGAGGAGGGCATACGATGGAGGTGAGACACGCTGCCCGTGGGCAGAAGAAAATAAATGCAGGTGCTGACCGGCCTGCCCACCTTAACTGCCCAACGAATCAAATGGAATGGAGAGAGCAAAGAAAAACGTTCAGGGGCAGTGGAGTAAAAATAAAAGAAGAAGGGGAAAGGGACTGGGGAGGGGAGATGGGTGGGGAGGGGGGTGGGGAAGGGGGGGAAGGGGAGGGGGGAAGGGGAGGTGAGGGGGAAGGAAGAGGGGAAAAAGGGGGGTGGACAGGGGCGAGATGCAAGCCAATATGATGATGATATGCCACGGTAAGATGTGAGAGTGTCGGTCAACACAATGTGCAAAGTCAGTTTGATTTTTTAGTCGAAGACAATTAGTCACAAGGTGACCTTTGAGTTGGCTCAAAAGCCACTGTAATGTGAGACCGTGTAGGTCAGGACATCATCCTGAGTCCATGTGACACTCACTACTTGTAGAAATCACCCTTTCTCTGGAACGAGCGGGTTACCACAATGTCACGAATTTCGTACACTTTAGATTGCCTTAGGGCGGGTCCAGCGCGTACGTTTACAGGTACTATACAGTTCATTCGTCGTGGTTTGAAAAGATATCAGGCGGTGCACAGTGGTTTCCAAATTGCACCGTTTCGAACCGTGACGCAATAGTGATTACCGTACTGGATGAACTGTAATGTACGGGAAACGTACGCGCTGGACACGCCCTTATGTCTGTGATACTCTGCGTCAGTGCTACCCTACGACAATGTAAACAGGGCTATAGTGTTACAATGCGACAGCTCGTACATCCTTCGCCCAGGGGTAGGTTCCCAAGGATGACTGAACCCGTGTGCGACTGCAGGCTCAGTCAGGTTACCATCTCGTCAGTTCGTACATCTGTCGCTCAGTCGCGAGCTCCGGAACGTCTGGAAGTAGACACTGTCATATATCAATGTTACAATGTTACCACGCATCCGTCTTATAATGCGACAGCTCTCACATCCTTCGCCCGGAGGCAGGTTTTCCAAGGATAGCTGCATGCGCGTGTCGCGGAACGTCTCCGCTTTAAACATCTTCGAAATCAATGTTACAGTGTTACCACCTCGCTATCTCTTACATCCTTCGCCTGGAGGCAGGATCTCCAGGGATAGATGCACGTCTGTGAAGAAAGAGGAATGACTCAACTAGCAAGGAGATGTGTACAAGTAAGAAAGCCTAACAGTGTTGTACCCCATATAGTCTACCCCACTACAGCCTACACAGACTATGTCAAATATGTTCGACACACCCCCATAGGCAAAGTGGGGGAGAACAAGAGGTCACGAGACCAGTCAAGCAAAGCAAGGCAAGCTCAGGGTGGATCACAACGTCACCACACAATCTGAGCACAAGCACAAGGCCACAAGGCCAGTTCACATGCAGAGTTATATATCAAGGTGAACAAGCAAGGCAGTGATCTCAACCTAGCGAGGGTAAGCATGCAAGTGCAGGTATATATAGATCACAGTACAAGCAAAGTCAAGAAACGAGCAAGTGAGGCCAAGTAGGCACAAGACCTAGCATCGTACAAAAGCGCTGATGATCACAAGGCTGAAGTGCCTTGGTGAAGATATCAGCACTGTTGGCCCGAGAGGCCACGTAAGCAAGACGCAGCTGACCACGCTGCTGCAGCTCACGAGCAAGGAAGTAGCGAAGAGCAATGTGCTTCGTTCTGTGCTCCAATCTGTGCTCTCGACACAAGGCCAGCATGGCCTTGTTGTCTACGTACAGAACTGGAGGAGAACGAGGCGGCTCTCCTAGGTCAGTCAGCAGGTAAGTGAGCCAGCGTAACTCCTGTGCAGCCATGGCCCCCGCGTAGATCTCAGCCTCACAGCTGGAGCTGAGAACAGAAGACCAGCGAGTAGACCGCCACGAAACAGAGCCGGAACCAAGGCTCTACGGACTCATCCGAAGGCAGAGCTGAGAGCGAGTGGCGAGTAGACAGAGGAGTGGCCTGAGGCGAGGAGTACGTGAAGTCGAAGCGCTGAAGGACCTGCTGCACCATGTGTGACTGAGTCAGGGTAATGGTGCGCCGTGCTCTGTCCCGGGTGATCTGCAAGCCAAGGTAGCTGCGCAGTTCACCTAGGTCTATGCACGTGTGTCTCTTCTGCAGCTCCGACTTCACGTGGGCGAGTCCAGCAGTGTCAGCTGTGGCAAAGACCAAGTTGTCGACATACACGAGGATGTAGAACGGCGGCAAAGAGGTGTCGGTGCGTAGAAACAGCGACGGGTTGGCAGTAGAAGGAGCAAACCCAAGAGCTGCAAGTGTAGTCCTCAGTGTGTCGTGCCACTCACGGGGCGCCTGGCGGAGACCGTAGACTGGCCGCCGGAGGCTCCACTGGGTACCAGGGGGAAACGACCCAGTGAAGCCAGGTGGGCGGCGCAGCCAGATCTCCTCGTGCAGGCTGCCCTGTAGGAAAGCAGTGCTAAAGTCAAGAGAGTGAAGCTCGTAGTCGCGCTGAGCGGCTATGTGCAGCAGCACCCGAAGAGTGGTCATCTTCGGGGTGGGAGAGAAGGTCTGAAAGTAGTCAACTCCCTGCCGCTGACTGAAGCCTCGAGCCACGTAACGCGCCTTGAAGACAGGCGGAGAACCCAGCGGCCGCTTCACCCTGAAAATCCACATGCCACTGACGATGTTCGCCCCAGGTGGGGGAACCTCGTCGACGTAGGTGCCTATGGACTTCCAGGAAGCTATCTCTGCGTCCATGGCTGACTGCCACTGAGAGGAGTAGGGACCCTCTATCGCCTCTGCGTAAGAGCGCGGAGTCGGGATGTCTGGTGCATCCGGGTCTCCCTCAGGTGCAATCAGCATGGACACGAGATGAGGTAAAGCAGCAGCAAAACACTAGAACTCCTCCTGCCTGTCCTCAAGGACGTCCGTGCTAAGAGCACACGCACCCCCGACGGACGGAGGACAGACAAAATCAGACTCAGCAACAAGACCAGCGACGTAGTCTAGACGACAGTGAGCAGCGAAGTCGACAAGCTCAGCAACTAAGGCAGACGCAGCAGTGGACTCAAAGGAAGGGTCAGTGACAACAGTAGCGAGGAGACGCGTGACAGTAGGGCTGGCAGCACGAAGGGAGTCCGACTCCGGGTCAGCAAGAGCAGGAAGAGAGGACTCTGGAGGAGACGGCAAAGGGACACGCAGTGGAGCAGTGGAAGGACGCAGCGCCATCTGATGCGTGCCTGGGACCGCAGGAGGACGCTGACGCGGAACACGAGGACCAGTGCGAGCAGCACAAACAGGCGACGCAGGACGAGACGCAGGCTCACGACGCTCAGCAAGACCTCCAGTAGGACCAGTGTAGGGAGAAGGAGCAGGCAGTGGGGAGGCGGGCTGTAACTGTGACTCGGACTGGTCAGGCGGTGGACACTCTAAGGGAGGAGCAGGACCAGTAGAGGGCGGAAGACCAAGAACCTGCTCAAGGAGCGGAACGAAGTACGGCCGTGGCCGCGCAGCACCTCCAGAACCAGCAGGGACAGCACCAGCACCCCCAGCGTCAGCTCCAACAGCTCCAGCGGCTCCACTAGCTGCTCCAGTAGCGCCAACTCCAGCACCCACAGGAGCACCGGCTCCAGCAGCACCTCCAGCTCCAGTACCTCCAGCAGCACCCCCAGCTCCAGCACCGCCAGCAGCTCCAGCTCTAGTAGCACCACCAGGCCCGGCAGCTCCAGTACCTCCAGTACGAGCACCTCCAGGACCCGTGGCTCCAGAACCCCCAGCAGCCCAAGCAGCAGAAGGACCTCCAGCCGCAGCAGAACCTCCAGCGCCGGAAGCACCACCAGCTCCAGCAGTACGGCGTCAGCGCCTAGCAAACCACTCGCGCAGCTCCTGCGGAAAGAGTGCCTCCTGCCGGGACGAAGCACCGGAAGGACCTCCAGGCCCAGCACCACCAGACTCCACACGAGTAGGCCCAGCACCCTCAGGCTCCGCACCCCCAGACTCAGCAACCCCAGGCTCAGCACCCCCAGACTCAGCACCCCCAGACTCATCACCCCCAGGCTCCGCACGCTCAGGCTCAGCACCCCCAGACCCGGCACCTGCAGGCTCAGCACCCCTAGCAGGACCAGAGTCAACAGCTACCTCGACAGGCTCGACCGCGTCTACCTGGGACACACCTGAGGGGGCAGGACCCTGGGGGGGGAGGGGGTCTACCGGGGGGGGACCTGGCGCGAGGAAGAGC